AAATAAAAGGGTTCAATTTGAATACGAGTTTTTCTAACTCACATGAAGGTTATCGTCTCATGAGAGTGTAAGTATTTGCTCCCTTCTAATAAAAGACAAAGCTCAAGTCTAGAACTTATGCATGAATGCATGTGTAGTTTGTGTAAAAGGACATGTCAAATAATTAAATTGGTACATAAGAATTAAAATCTATAAAAAATAAGAAACCATAAACAAATGGGTTAGTTTGCATGAAAGTCATAAATAATTACATAATAAAACCATCAAAGCAAAGCTTAAGATAACACATAACTAACTAATGGCTTGACTCTCTAATATTCCCAATGTAGTCACCAAACTATCATAATGTTGAGATTTGAGAACCTGCCCATTAGATGCAAAAATCATGGAATTGCCACCAATCCTTTTAGTTAGGTGTGATTGGTTACCTATGTGAATTTATCCATTTTAACATTGTCTTAAGTTTGAACTAAAGGTCTTTAAAAAGGATAGATTCTTGTCTACATCAATAAAACAAGGTTTGGGAGTCAATTATGTGCATGGAAGGTTTTAGCACCCCTTTACAGCCAAAATTGATACCCAATTAATGATGTATTATCTTAACTAAGCCTTAATTAAAATGGTTTTTATCGTGCAAATCAAATCAAATCCAATCCTTTAATTTATTTACACACCTTGGTGATAGAAAAATTCTATCAAAATATCAACTAATCATGCAATCATGTAATAAATATTAAATTATACCATGCAAAAATTATCATGCAATAATATCATGCAATAAATATTAAATTATAGCATGCAATAAATCATGCAATACTATAAAATCATACCATGCAATAAACATAAAATCATATCATACAATAAATATAAAATCATATCATGTAAATCATATAATCACACAAGTAAATATATTAATAATCAAGCAAGTTAATATATTAATAATCATGCAAATAAACATATTAATAATCATGTAATATTACAATAAATTAATAATCATGCATTCATGCAAAAAAAAATTAAATTATGCAATATATTTAATTCATGCACAATAATAAATACTATTTAAAAAAATTAATTCATAAAAACATCATGTAGAAATAAAACTATGTTTTTCTTTTTCTTTTTCTTATCACATTAATTCAATCACACAATTATAATAACAAATAAGAAAAATAGAAAATAAAAATAAGAAAAAATAAAATCAAAAAATAAAAGGAAAAAGAAATGAGGACACCTACGATTGGGTCGAGTCCTAGGTGGGATGGTGTGTGAATCTGATGCAGGTTGGGATGTAAATATTGGCCCTTTAAAAGCCAAAATCCTTTATTTTTTCTTAGGACTACCTTTTCTTTTTTCTCTAGCTCGATTTTTCTCTGACTTCTTTCTAGAAGTTCACTAGAAAATTTAACAAAATTCAAAAAATGGCTACAAAATCTAGATTCCAATGCTACAAAATTCAATCAATTGTCAAAAAATTCAAACAATCCCAAAAGAAATCATCAACCTAGAAAATGGCCACCATCAACAACCTTCAATCGTTGTAATACCTATCGAAAAATTCAAATGTTCAAGTTATAAAACCCAAAATTTTTAAAATTCAAACACCAATCTCAAAAAAATTACAACTTTTCCTATAAATTCCTAGATTCTAAAATTGAAACCAAAAAACAAAAATCCAAACATCAATCCTAAAAGAACCTCAAAATTCAAAATCTAAGAACCCAACAATCAAACAAGCTTAGAAATTATAGAAAGAACCCATAATAAAAAAAAGCATTTAAATCTTAAATTCAGAGCAAATTCCTTAACATAAAAGGATTAAACCAAGAACCCAAAATGATTTTGCAAAACCTTTGATTATTGTAATTTGCCAATTACTTTTTGATTTTTGTGTATTAGCTTATTGCTTCTTGTTCACTGATTGGGGGTGCTTTTATAGTGATTAAGTCCCAATTTTACTTGGAAAATCCAAGATTCCACCAAATCTAACTAGATTTCGAAGATTGAAATCTTATGTGATCTTTCTTTTATTTTAATGACTTAAGGACCAAGGATTTATATAGTTGAATCTTAGAATCTGAAAATGAATCCATGATCGAAACTGAGGTTGAAAGGTCCAAAGCTTTTTGCTAATTTCAAAAACCCATGTCTTTTATTTCCTTTTCTTTGACTTTTTTTCTTTTTACTTTTTTTTACTTTTAACTTTGACCTAAAATTAAACAAAAACTAAAAAAAAAATCAAAACCAAAATTAAAACTAAAATTAAAATTAAAATTAAGATTAAGATTTTTAGGCTTTTAATATTTTAGGTCCAAAAATTCATGTTATGGCCCAATTTACGAGTAACACCCATTTTGATCTCAAAAAATTAGCTGGACAAAATGGGTTGTCTATAGGCTTAACTCAGTCATACAGGCCAAAAAGCTCATTTTAGTAAATTACCTCTATAAAAACTTAGCTTGGCCACAACGAGCAAAAAGCTCGTCTCGATAAATTACTTTTATAAAGGCTTAGCTTTGCCACATCGACCAAAGAGCTCATATTGGTAAATTACCTTCATAAATGCTTAGTTCGATTACTTCAACCAAAAAACTCATCTTGGTAAATTACCTTCATAAAGATTTAGCTCGGTTACTTTTAGTTAAAATGCTCATCTCTGTAAATTACCTTTATAAAGGCTTAGCTTGAGCATGTCGGCTAAAAATGGTTAGCTTAACCTAATTGCTTAGTTTGGTAAAAAAGTTCACTATAAGAAAATTTACCTTCAAAAGAGCTCATTTTGGTAAATTTTCATTTAATAAAGGCCTACTTAATAAAATTATCTTCGCAAGAGTTCAAATTTATCAAATTCACCACAGTGAAATTACCTTGGCATATATTCACCTCAATATAACTCATCTCGGTACATATTTGCTTCGATATAAATCACATCAGCATAGATTCACTTCGGTATAAATCACCTCGGCATAGATTTACTTCAATATAAATCCCTTCAACACAAATGAATTTAGAATTTATTATAAAAACTATAAATTATCACATCGATTATTAGGTAACTGATTTAGATAACTAAAAAGCCCCTAGATCAGATGCCTATTAGCCTTGACCAAAGTTAAATAGTTAACAAACAAAGTTAAACAACTATTGAGATCCCAATAGTCATCCATGTAAGATAAATCATATAATGACATTTTATCATATCAGTATCTCAAACCACTCATGTCACTAAAAGGTTGGACAATAAAATCAACATTTAAAGTATAAACTCAAATGTATCCTTCAATTTCAACAAATCAACTAAAACACAAAATAGGTTGGACACCTTAGCTCAACCATCGTCTGAATCTTTAGGCTATTTTTTTGGAAGTACATACTGTTAGGGGCATTTTTGGGTTATAAGGATAAAATTATTTTTTATCCTAAGAGAGTGGTTCACAATTGGAGTAAGAGTACTTTAGTAATTTAGTCTAAGCTGATGTGTATAAATACCTCTTTACTCCTTATAGGTAAAGGGAACCAATTATTCTTTAAACCTTTTCATTCTTATCTCTGAGCTCTTTCCCTTGACTCTCTAATTCATACATTTGAGGTCATCACCTAGTTCGAACTTAGCACAAATAGCTCTCTTTTTATTTTGAAATAAAAAAAAAAGAAAAATCGTTAGGGAAAAAATGAGAAATAAAAAAAGAGAAAATATTTGAAATTAGATGAAAAACAATTTGTAAGAGAATATTTAAATGTGGAGGCTATTAAAGATAGAAAGTGACAATTGCAATAAGCACATCAATGACCTTTCACTTTTATTCTAAGTTTTGAACCTAAAAATCCCAACAAAATTTTGATTGTTTTGGTTGATGTAAACTAAATATATTGTAATAGGTTACAAAGAAAAGGCATGCATATGTATATAAAACTAAACATGAAAGATGGACTAATGGAAAGTGTCTTCACTACTGCTTTACTCTCGAAAAAGTTAAGAATAATATATATATATACCAAAACAATTTAAGACCAAATCTAAACTTATCAATTTAAAATATGATATAATGATATAAAATGAAAATAATTGATTGTTTGCCACCATGACCAATAATATTTCTTGAAAAAAAAATGACAAGTGATAAAATTGATAATAGGGAAATTTCTTTTATTTTTAGGCTCACAAATAAGGAAGGTAAAGAAAAAGAAAAGAAATGTGTGCATTTTGTTTCCTAATTGTGATTTTTTTTAAGGAAAAAAAAGATTTGTAGTTAAAACGAGGGTTGTGACTATTAGAGTTGTCGTTAAAGTGAGAAAAATCGATAAAATAAAAAATTTATTTGAAATTGTAATATTTATTCAGTTTCAATTGTTTTTTCTATTTAGTTCAATTATATTAGAGATTCTTATAATTTATTAAACTTTGGAATTTAATTTTTATATTATAATTTATATAAATTTAATTTTTATATTATTTTGATTTGATAATTTTAATCAAATCACTATCTTTGTTAATTTTTTATTATTAAAAATATTGATGTGACCGTTGATTTAATGATGTGGGTATTAACTTTGTTGATGTGACATTGATTTTGATGAAGTGATAATTTGAATGGATAAAATCAGTTATTAAATTTTTGTAATCACACAAAATTTGAAATTCAATTTATATAGCATAAAAAATTCAATATTTCATTTTTTAACTAAACTCTTATATTTTTATTTTATTCAAATAAGTTTTTATCTTTTAATTTGTTTATAGATAAGTCTTTTACTTCAATGAAAGATTGATTTATATAAGTGTTTATTTAGCTATAAATTAAAGATTAAGGTTTAGGCTTATATAAATTAAGATTAAGAGTTTATTTAAATGTAAATTAAAATTTAAGGGTTTATTTGAGTTAAATAAAAGTATAAAATTTTATCTAAATAATATGAAAAAGTTTAAGGGTTTTTTTTTTTTCTTTTTTTTTTTAAAATAAAAATAAAAAAGTGACCAAAAAAAAAAAAAAGCACACGCACGCACCCAAATGCCCTTGAAGCGTCCGGGCTGAAAACAGGTTTGTTGCTGGTGGAATCAAATGTGAGAGCAAAGATGGCAATCATTTCCAAAACCCTAACGAGGCTCCGTCCTACTGGTGCTGGCCCCTTCTATTCTATTTCCAATCAACTCCCTCGGCCAAAGCGTTGGCTTCCATCTTCTTTCGTCTCCACCTCCGCTGCTGCTGCTGTCTCCTCTTTCTCATCCCAATCTCATGGTCTTCATCTTATGTTCTTTCCATCTGGGTTTTACTTCAAACTTTATAGGAATTCTTTATTTGCATCTTATTAATATGGATGTTTGGCAGATAAAAAGGAAGGATCAACATGGTCAAGATGGTTTCTTTTCCTTCCTGGGGCTATCACTTTCGGACTTGGAACTTGGCAGATTTTCAGAAGGCAAGACAAGGTCAAATATTTCCTTTTCTTTTTACATTCCATTCATCCTCTTGCATTTTCTGTTAGTCTTTAAAAAATGCTGATCTCTATATTCATTTTTTTCTTATTCTATCTCTATCATTGCCTCACTGCCCTTTTCTTTTTCATTATGATTGCTTTTTCCCCAACTGATCTAGATTTTTTTTTTCGTGTTAAATAAATCATGTTTATATAGTTTTAGTGTTAGAGTTTTTTTTTTTTTCCACAATTGGAAATTGCTTCTTTGAAGAAAGAAGGCCCAACGCTAATGGTTCTGACTTCTGTTGAGATAGAAGGGATTTGCTATCAGGGTTCATGATTAGGAAGGATAGGGTATGACTATTCAGTTGAATTAGTCGACCAAATAAAATGAAAAGAACATCAGCTTTCAAATAGGAGAATGATGTGTGTGCGTGTGTGTCTCTATATATACTATGCATTTAGGTTTTATGCAAGTTACGCATTGAGAGAATAGTGCTCCATAGTGGTTTTCTTAAAAATTTCCTCGTAAAGATGCTCTGAAATACATTTATTGTTGAAATTCGGTAGATTAATAATTCATATTTAGTATTTTCTTTTTCTTTTTTAATTTCTGGCATAAAATAATTTTAAAATATAGATAGACCATTGGAATTACTGAAAATAGTTAAAGAAGCTAATGCACTAATGAATGACATATAGTTTTGGCATACACCTTCTATTATCTCACTAATCTTGTTTGTTTTGTTTATTTATTTGTACACCATATACTTTGTAAGCATAGTCACCTGTCATTTTGAGTGGATGCTGGCACTCAAGCCCTTGGCTTTAAGGTTTATGTTATGCTGTAAGAGTCAATAGAAATCCTTTTTGCGTAACTGTACCTATGTGTCTGCTTTTTTAAACATGTGTACTCAACAGTATATTCGACTCTCGCTCTCAACTTGCCGAACATGTTATCTCATCTACATTCCCTTGCTTGCAACCTTTAGGATTGTTTATGGGATTTTCATTTTTGTTCAGAATTGCATTCTTATATTTGATTCATTGTACTTTAAACAGATAAAGATGCTGGAGTACAAGCAGAAGAGATTGCAAATGGAACCTTTCAAACTAAATGACATGCCTCCTTCGAGTGAACACTTGGAAACTTTGGAGTTTAGGCTAGTTGTGTGCAAAGGAGTTTTTGATGATGGAAGGTCAATCTATGTTGGGCCCCGTTCTAGAAGCATTTCTGGAGTGACTGAAAATGGCTACTATGTCATTACACCCCTAATGCCAGTCATTGATGATGCTGAGAGGTAATTAACATTGGTTTTTTGGTAATAGAATTACAATCAAATAGTTCTGTAGCAATTTTCTCATCAATTTTAATACTGCCAGTTATCTTGTTTACTTTAGCCTTTACTTCCTGTTCTCTCTTCGTTGTATCTTGTCTTTAAGTGAACTTGTGGAAGTAGGAGTGGAGATGATAAGGTAACATGAACTTTCTTATAATATCCTTACTTTGTGGAAAGTGAATAATTTGTAGGAATAAAATTATGATTTTGTGGCAAAAGGGATCCGAAGTTAATGAAAGAGGAATCTCTCTAATCTGGGGAAAATGAAAAAAATTGCTTTCCCTGTTCCCTCAAGGGGAAAATGCCTCATCTTTTTCTTCTCTCCTCTTTATCCTTTCTCCATCTAGCCAAAGGGTAAGTTAGGGGAATGGTTACTTTTAGGTTATGTTTACATTATGTCGTAATGGTATATCTTCAACATAGTGAAATGAGCAGAGCATATAAAACATTTGATTATTGCTTGTTGAAGTAATTGTTAGATTGGAAACGAGTTATATGCAAGCAAGGCCAGTTTTGGGAGAGTTCATTTCTGCTCACAGAGAAAAGTAAATGATCTGTGCTGTCTAGGAGTTCAAGGCTTGGATCTGTCTTTGTTTCCAAATATTGGGGCTATTTCCTTAGTTATTATTATTATTATTATTATTACTATTATTATTGTTATTATTTCTTGTTTTCCAGAAAATTTCTCTACTGGCATAGGGATAATGTGTTCATAAATGCAGGGCTAGAAATAAAGCCTACAAGAATTTAATATGCCAAAAAGATTTGAAATAAATGTGTGTCAATTGGCAATTTAACTAATCACTGTTGTTTTCATCTATGAACGATACAATGAGCAGAATCCATCTCCAAGAAAATGAGAATCAATTTAAGATTCACAGAAAGCTAATCATAATAACCACTAAATCTAAAAAAGATTAATTGAAAATCAAAACATCTTATATAATCTTGCCACCGATCTTATGAGTTTAGAAATATCATAAATTTGTATAGGTATTAGCCTTCTTGTACTCTTTGGTCAAACTATCACTACCATTTGTTGATTTCTGTAGCGATCTTAAGCCCAAAGTTCTTTTCTTTCCCCCTCGTTTACAGTGTACATATGCTACCATGCATATTACCTCTAGGTAAAATAATTAATCTGAAGGTTTTAGAGTTTCGAAATTTTTGTGTGAGAAGCATGTACAGAAGAATCATATAATGGTATCTTAGACATTGAGTTTTTCATTAGAATTATGTCATGTATTTAGGGCTTAAACTGTAAACTAATGCTATTGGTGTGCTGGACAAGCTTTACATTTTTACTACTTGTGAGTCCATTTGCTGATCCCTTAGACCCCATTTAAACTTTCCAGCATGTATTAAAACCATTTCTTAAATGATCAAAAGCAGCCCTTTTTGAGGACTTAGGTGCTCCAATTTTTTGTCATTTTAGCCTCTCTTCCCCCCCACCCAACCCACACACAAAGAGAAAGAAGAAGAGGAAAAAATGGAAAAAAACTCAAGAGAGTGTTGGCTTTGACTGCTTGGCTCTGGGCTTTTGTCACAAAATAGTGAACTAAGCTTCAAGTGGGAATGACAAGGTCTTTGAGTTTCTATCCGACCTTAATTATATGTGGCATTTTCCCTTTATGGTCACCTTTGAAGGTTAATTGTTATTTGTTGCTGGCTTCATATTCCTTGCTGATGCATGATGCATGGGATTGCCTGCTGTGTTTCCATTCAGCTAATTTTAATATACTTTCAGTGTGCAGTCACCAGTTCTTGTAAATAGAGGATGGGTCCCACGCAGCTGGAGAGATAAGTCTTTTGAAGTTCCACAAGATAGGGAGAAATCTTCAAGTATGGATGTTGTTCCTGTCCAACAGAATGAAAAAAGCTGGTGGAGAAGGTTTTGGTCTAAGAAGCCAAAAGTTGTTGAGGTTGTCTCTTATCATCCCATAATTCTTTGGTTGCTGCTGATGACTTATATCTTAGGAGAAAAAGTTTAAAATTCCTTGGAACTTACAGGATCAAGCCCCTGTTATTACTTCTGTGGAAGTTATTGGAGTTGTCCGAGGGAGTGAGAAGCCGAGCATATTTGTTCCAGCAAATGATCCAAATTCAAGACAGTGGTTTTACGTTGATGCTCCTGCAATTGCTGTTGCTTGTGAGCTTCCAGAGGATACTCTTTTAATTGAAGATGTCAATGAAAATGTTAATCCAAGCAATCCTTACCCTGTTCCGAAGGATATCAACAGCTTTATTCGCAGTTCAGTTATGCCGCAAGATCATCTAAATTATACATTGACATGGTATGAATAATTATATCATATGGTCCAAAATATTTTGTCCCTGCACACATAGTTCCTTTGTTAGAGATATCTGAGAATATTTGGTATTAGTGTGCATGGTCTATCCCATCTTCTTCCAACAGTTAGAATACTTCTATTTTTCTTATGATTGCTATGAAGGATGGAAAGCAGTACTTTATCTGTCTTTTTAAAAGGAAAAATAATAAGGCAAATAATACTCTATTTTTAATTAGAAATTAAATAAATCTGAATTGGAAAATTTAAGTAATGAATAGATAATATGATGAACTGAATATAACAAGGTAAATATCTTGCACAAAACTCAAACAGAGAAATGATAATTAATTATTATAAAGATATATCATGTTTATGTTTTTATTGTGGAAATACAAATTTATACTAATGCAATTTAGCAAGTTATGGGCAAAGAAAGCCACTTCTTTTGGAAAGCATAAGAGAATTGAGCCCCATTTTTTTAAACTGCATTTGGTTTAATGCAACTTTTGCAAACTAAGTCCTTTTTTCTGTCTTTAATCATTTGACTAAACTTTTTTAATTTTATTACTCTTTGATGATAATTGGTTCTTACCAGCAAAATATTACCTTGCTGCAAATGCCTTTTTCTTTTTGCTTCAAGGCAACTTGAGGCTGCCATGCATTGAGGCACCCCTACATGCATGCTTCAAATATTATTTTGACTACATATTTATGTTTATGTGTCATGATATGTAGACCTTATAGAACAATTACTTGCGTCAGGCCTATTTCAACATGCTTTTTGAATCCCACAAGTTTGATGGGTTGTATACAATGTCAATTAATTGTCTAGGTGTAGATGATAAGTTCAAAAAGGGTCTAGTATGCTTTTGTGTGTTTACTTAGGTATCATGATTGTTTCTTAGCATCAATATGTTGAGGGAAAGTTTTCCAGACTAGGGATGCTATCTTGCTTCTACAACTGATAATTAGTGTTTATATTTTGGGGTTGTTTTGTTAGGGAAGCATGATGAGGTGAAACAAAATATGATATTGCTTAAAATTCATGAACTTTACTCTATTTACGAGAATGAACAACACCTTCATGTGATTATCATGATGGAATATTTTCAGCTGTTTTTGTACATCTAAAATCTCTATCTTGAGTGGCTATGAGCTTTTTTCTTTTTTTCTTTTTTTGTAAAACTATGTGTCTGGTACCTTTCAGGTGGGCCTGATTTTAATATAGAAAAACAATATAGGGGTGGCATTTACTAACTATCTATCTAAACATAGGTTGGGTTTATTAGTGCTTCAAGGATTTTCAGATTTTTTTTAGAAATGAATTGAAGTTAGAAAACCTTATTAAAGCTTATCTAAAATCTTGTGTGTTCAAGCTTCTGCATAACTGAAATCTGTATCTTTAGCAAAAATTCACTTCACTAAAATGCCTTATGGTGAGACATAATGATTCATGTATCCTTCTAGTTTCATCTGTAGAGATATCATTTATAAGGATGCATGACAGATTAATTGGTAAGGAAGCATGCATGTCTTCATTTTATTTAGATTTCCTAATTCCCCTATCGCTATACTTTTTATTCTGAGAATGTACATGTCCTTTCTGGCTTTTCTCAAAGTATATTATGTTGTCACCTCAGCATCTCATTAGTGAAAAGACAACAATATAACAAATTTATCTCAGAAGTTTAAACAAATTGTCTGGCCTCCTTTCATACCTCTTACCCTGTATCTATTTCATGTTTCTGCAGGTATTCTTTGTCTGCTGCAGTTACATTTATGGCTTTCAAGAGGCTTAAGCCAAAAAAGAGTAGGAGATAGCAAGCATTACTCTAAGAGGTATAACTTATTCCTATAATTATTGTTCGGAAGCGTATTCAAGCATTTGATTATGGCATATTCTTACCTTGTGTCCCTTACATACTGAAACAAGAAATTGTGTATTTGTTGGCACTTCTCTTTTTTGTCTTTTTGCCCATTATTTGATGGTACTATTTATTTCTTCATTTTGGTTTTATTTGTTAGATTATGAGATCCTCCTGCATCCTGTTGTTGTTATGGTAGTTTGTTGTTATGGTAGTTTAATTTCTCATTCTCATACTGGATCAATTCAAGAATTTGTTCTACAAGAACATGAAGTATTGATTAGCCTCGAGTCCTATTATTAGAATGAGAAAATATATTTACTGGATTAGGCATTTCTTCATTGTGGCTCCATTTGTTGAACCATGATACATTTCCTGCAATCTTTCAGCTGATTTTCTTAATATTGATTGTTCTTTTGGCCACTATGTGTTGTGTATGTGAATAATTTTCCAAATGTGCATTGTTAGACAGTGAGCCTTCTTATAATTGCATTCAAACCATTCCTTGTTCCAACTATTTTCATAATTTTTCAGGGAGCCAAGTTCAAAAACCGTCATAATGCATGTTTTATAGTATACTGATTATTAATTACTAACATCATGAAGAATTTTAATTGTAGCAATATTGGCATGCCAAATTATATATAAAACTAGAAACATTTGAAATGTACATAAACATAATATCTGTAATCACAATTTAATATAACAATCCAAAACATCGAAAGTATAATAAATATTATTTGCAATAATGTATTTATTTTTATATTAGAAAGTGATGCTACACATATTCATGTACAAATTAAAGTTGAGAGAAAAAAAAAATCAAAATCCTGTAAGTTTAAAGATAATTTAAAATTATTAAAAAAAGAAAATTTAAATTTATTATGGAAAAGTTCAAAATTGCCTTTGTAATCCTTCTGTGATATTAGAGTGGTGTTTTGTCTTTCAATTGAGGAATGAAAATGAAATTTGTGTCTCATATAACATCTTCAACTTCTTTTTCTGGCTTCCATTCTTTTATTTTGACAAACTTGCTGATTGGTAGATAAAATCGAATTAAGTAAAATTATGAATCACATCTTTGTTTGTTTGTCCGTTCCTTTTCTTTATGAATAAATTGCTTCTTTTTTTGGGTATATAGGTTTGCATAGAGGGCCTTGGACAAATGAACAAGAAGAACACAATTTGAGGCACATTCTATTTAGTTTTTATTTTCAGAGTTGAGCTGATTGCCCGTTAGAATACTTTATGAAATGGGCGGAGTAGCAGAAAATATAGCGAGAAAAGCCATTCTAATAGCACCATCCAGTTTCTGATCTGCACAAAGAACAGATGAGTTTTGCCACATTTTGTTTTTATATTGAATAAAAATTTTATGGTGCATTTAAAGTTAGTTATTTTTTCAAGTTTAAGTCTAGAAAACAAGGAAAGAAAGAAATGAAAAGAGGTAGAGGAACAGGTATAATTGATTTTTCAGTTTGATAGAATGTATTTTGGCTTTTCAAGTCGTTTGAGGTTCACCACTATTGAAAATGTGTTGTTTAGCACAAATGGAATGTGTAGCTGCAAACTTGGTAGTATTGGATCATGTAAACGTGTACATGTATCATTAAACTGTAGACTTTTGGATAATTGTTTTTTTCTTATTCATACATATAATCCGAAGTCCTTGGTGTTAACAAATGAAACATTTTAAATTCAGTTTCATTTCCACTTGTTGCAGCCTCTTTCTCTTCGCACGGTTTGTCCTAGGAACAAACTGATTCTGCAATTGTTTTTTATGATTTTCTTTTTTTTTAAGTTTTTATAAAATAAGGTAGACATTCACAGGCATAAATCAGTTAGGTTTTAGTGGAGGAATGAATAGTAATCCATATCTTGCATCTTATCATTGTACATTAATGGGCTGGGCATTGTAAGGGGATATTTTGATAAGGAGAGAGTTGGAAATCACTAAAACGAGATATTTTGGGAGAGGGGGGGGGGGGGGGGGGGGGGGGGGGGAGCGTTTTAACAAAAGAAGATCAATTTGTATGGAACTATTCCAACTAGTTCCTGATGCTGTAAGAACTCGATTTTGTGTTGTTTCTAATTATGTATGCAATTATGATATTAATAGAAATCTGTGAATAGTGGGGCATAAGTCTTCATGTATAGACTGAACACTCAGCTCATGTTTGGTGTATAAAATGATGGATAAGATAATAAGATAATCATTTTATATTATGTTTGATTTGTATTTAATTGAAAGAGATATGATTACAAAGAGGATTATTATCTTTTTGATATAAGATGATTCAATTCTCTTAATGTGAAGAAGATTATTTTTAATTTATGAGATTAAATTTACATATTATATCTTTAAAAATTACATCGATAATTTAAATTATATAAATTTCAAAATAAAATAATTTTGATGAATAAAAAAAATTATCTTATTTTAATCTTTATATATATATATATCAAAATAAGAAAATATTATTTAATTTAATCATATTTATAATATTATTTTTTTTTATTTTATCATAATTTTGTGATCGAAATATTGTTATGGTTTTTATGAAAAAATAATTGGAGACTTTGTAATAGAATTTTCGTAAAGTTTATTTAATAATAATGAGGTACTATTGGAACTAATAGCGTTTGGAAAAAACTGATTTAGCCGCAAATGCTCATGGGGATTACCTCATGGTGTTTGGCGTTGCCACGACCTAGAACCGTCGGATTGGGGCGTGACAACATCGGTTAAACTGACCACTTGTAAAATCTCGTAGCCATCAGTGAATGGCTAAAATTGTGGTTGTTACTCACGCATTTTCAACTCTCTCGAAGCTGTAAGTTCAAGAGATATGATACAATAACTCATAGAAGTTAAGGTTTGAGTAAATTGTTGCTTGTAGCAGGTAAGCATTATGAAAATTTTTCATTCTTTTTTAATGTTGTAATTTTAATTTTTTTATATATTTTATGAATTTTTTATTAAATTCTCAAATTTTATTTTTTATAGTTTTTAAAAATTTTTAAGAACTTTTAATAAATTTTCATATATTTTTAAAGAATTTTAGATTTTTTTTTTATTTTTCAAGTTTATGTGAATTTTTTGAATTTTAAGAAAAATTTATTTTTATTAAAATATTCATTTTTTAATATTTTAGAATTTTTGGGATTTTTATTAAAATTTTGAGATTTTTCAAAATTTTTAAGTTTTAATATTTTCTTAATTTTTATAATTTTTAAAAATATTTCTTATTTTTTAAATTTTCTATAGTTTTTTAAAATATTTCAGATTTTTTAAAACTTTTTAAAAACTTTTAGAATTTTTTAAAATTTTTTTGAAATATTTTATTAATATTGACATGACAATTGATGAAATGGTACTGAATGTACTTTTGATATGTATCAGTATTTTATTAGTTGTTCATACTATATTAATAAGTTAACTGATAAATTTAATTGAAAATACCAAAATTGATAATAAAATAAAAATTTAAATATCAAACTGATAATTTTATTTATTTAAGTACTAAATTGACAAAAAATATATAGCATAGACACTATTTTTATATTTAACCCTTCTTTATTCTCAAATTTGTTTGAGCTAACACCTAATTTTATGCACTGATTAGCACCCGAAAAATATTAGTTTTGCTTAACGGTAGATGTTGTAGCTTGTGATCTTGATTTCATGCAAGTCTTAGTATAACCCAATTAATGCCCCATTGCAGTACACATTTATTGCACCAAACCTTCCAAGGGAATGGGCAGAGAAGAAGTTAAGTGGTTCACATGTTCCAATTCATCACAGAAAACGCAATTATTCTTATTATTCTTCAAACAGCTTTCTTGGAGTACTTGCATCACAGGAATTCATATTTTCATTGCTTTCAAAACATCTCAACTTCGGGCGAGGCTAATCCTTTCCATATGTAGCTTTCAACAGGTGGTTCAGTATTTCCAGATTTTTTCAACACTATTTTGAAGGATTTTGGCTTGTAAACTCCGTTTAGTTGTGTAGGTCCAAATCAATCTGCCGGTAGCCATAGAAGAAAGGGATACAGAGTTTAGAAGTTCCATAAACTGCTCCCATAGGGCAATCTCCCAGTCGAAGAGGTTTCGCCTTAATGGAATATGCCAGTGCCAGATCAACTCATCTCATTTGCCATAGTCTTTGATATGGGTTACTTTTTCGATCACCAATAGAAATTTAAATAACGGTTACGATTACGTTTTCGATCGTGTCGTATTTATTACGTTTTCTGATATAAAAGAGATCATTGCGATAATCACGGTTATTGTGATCGTGAATTTATTTTAATTTTACATATTTTATTATAAAATTTTTATTTAATGATTTTTAAAAAATTTATGATACTTTATGTTTTTCATTTTCTAAAAAAATTATTCACAATTTTATTTAAATTATAATAAAAGCATTCATATTTGGTTTAGCAATAAAATTTTTGCTTGAGTCAAGTTCATATTCAATATTAATTCTAGACAAATCAAAATATTAACCAAATATAATATGTTAAATACCAAGCATTCATATTTAATAAAATTAAAAATTTAAAAATATAATAATTTCAAATTCCATCAACTATAGTTATAAATTAATAAGAACTAATCAAATAGCAAAAGAATTAACAACAATATAAATACAAAAATAATAAAAAATTATTAAATTTCAAATACAAAATCATAAATTAATAAATAGCAAAATCAAAATATAATATTTAATTTTAATTATTTTTCATCTAACTTATACAAAAAAATATATTAAAAATTTTCATCTAAAATCTATATATATAATTTCAAAAACTACAAATTTTCAAACATATATTTTAATAAAATTAATTACAAAATTAAATAGAAAAACCCTACCCACCTCACCCCACCCCATTCCACTCGGCACCTACGCATCCCACTCAATAGCAAACACCCCCCCTAAAAGTTTCTCTCAAATTTTAATAACCAAAAACCTTCGTCCTCAACTCTTCTTCATGTCTTTCTTTTTCTTCCTTTTTTCTCTCTACATCTGTCACTTACCCTCGTCAATGTCATTGCCTACAGAGTCCCTTGACCTCATTGCTCTCAGATCCTTACAAAGTTCAACATTATTCTACAGAAATTTTACAAAAAAAAAAAAAAAAAAACAACTAATTTAACTTTCTCTTACCTTCGTTGATCTTGATTGTTGATTCAGAACTTGAGGTTGATTTGAATTTGAGTAATTTACAAATTGAGTTAAGTTTGTTGTCGATTGAATGGTTGATAAAGGATTTGATACTATTTTCTAACTTTTTTTGATTGATTTTGAAATTGAGAATCTGAGACTTGAGTTATTTTTTTGCTTTTGTTCTTACTTTTGCTCTTGCTCTTGCAGTCTTCTCAATTGCTTTATTCGTGTTGAATTTTTTTTTAGTTTATTTGAACCGGTGACTAGGAAAATGGGAATAGCGACAATAACAGTCCGTTATGAATTGTTATTGCCGCTATTCCCCATTACACCATTTCCTAGCGGCCATTACATATCATTTCGAGTGTGATTCAATTTTTTAGCTGCATTTTCCCCGATAACGGTGATGAGTGGTGGCATTACTATAATTTTGTGACCGCTATTCTACTAAAGAACTTTATTTGAAACCCAGATCGCTAGAGCATATATTCTACCAAAAGAGTTTTTCAAGATGAGGCCATGGATCCATTGATCTATCTAGAAATTTATCCTAGCTCCATCACCTGCACAGTAAAGAAAACTTGAAATAACAAGGTTAAAATTATTTCAAAAGCACTAGTTGTTTTGGATATCTTTCCAAACACAAAAATAGAAATGAGATTGGCAAGGAGCAAGCCACAAGTTAGCTAAAGACAAATTGTATTTGTCACATATCACTTTCTTCCATAGAGAATTTGACACTCTATGGCATCTCTAAGTCCATTTTAATAGTAAAGATTGGTTGCAATTCTCAAAACTAAACAAACCCAAACCATCATATTGTTTGCTCTTACAAATAGTATGCTAATCAACTAATCTCAGTTTTCCCTTTTCCTTTGTGTCTCCCTATAAAAATTGGCGTTGAATTTTTTTGAGTTCGACATTTTGAATATGGACATGTAATAGATTGGTAGGTTTGTAAAAACCGTTTTGATTAGAGCCACTCGATCCCCTATATATAGTAGTTTACTTTTCCATTGACTGAATTTGCTTTTAAATTTATCAATCGCCAGTTGCCAAGTCGAGATCCTCTTTGGATTTGCTCTAAAAGGGAAGGAAAGATATTTAAAAGGAAGAGAGTAAGCTATATAGTATATATTACCAACCTATTCTTTAGACTAGCATAAAGTTGAAAACACCTTAGTATTCTTTTAATTTGCAGTAATTGTTCCATATTCACTTCACAGAATATAATAGTATCATCTATGAATTGCAAGTGAGAGATGTGCCTCTCTTTGCCCTATGTTAATTCCTTTAAAAATACCTAATGCGACAACCTTCTGAAGAAGAATACTTAATCCCTCTACAACTTTATTGAATAAGAAAGAGGATAGAGGATCGCTTTGGCAAATGGCTTTATGCATCTTGATGGGGTTCATAAGAAAGCATTTATGAGGACTAAGATAAAAGCTATGGAGATACATCCCCTAACCTATGAAATCCATCTTATCAAAACCCTTAAAACTTGTAAAAAATCCAAATTCGCCAATCAAAAGCTTTTTTAAAGACAAGTTTAAATAAAAAACCTCATTTAGGATTTTTTCTTACAATCAATTACCTCATTTGCTATCAAAATGTTGTCCATGATTTGTCAACCTTTAACAAACGTAGACTGAGTGTGATTGATAATAAAGCTCATAACCCATTTTAGTCTATTAGTTAGCACCTTGGCTAAGATCTTGTAGACACTCCCAATATGAAAAATAGGTTGAAAGTCATTCAGAGATTCTACACA